ATAACACAACCGATATTCACTTATGAAATTGACATACAACCAAAACAGTGTATAAAGAAAGCAAATAAAGGAAAATCCCCTGCCTGGGAATGGCAAGGGGACCGCGACCCTTACTTCGCCAGCCACCCTAAGTAACTCTTACATTTGTGATAAGAACTGCCATTATTTATTCCATTCCTTGACGCGTAATTCAATATGCGTTCGCCCCTGATTCCATGGCTCGAAATTTGAGACTGATTCTGTTCTAAAACAAGAGAAAATAAGTGATGTATTTGCATTATGTGTGTTTATAGATGAAAAACAAATTGCGTATATAACTGCATGTGAATCTGCGTTGTAGATGGGCGACGTCTGTTCATGAAACCGATACAATGACGTTGAAAAGGGTGTACTAAGTCTGTTAGTGAAATATCAATATCAATTGATTAAAACTTGAGTTGTTGTTTTTTTACTTTAATTTGTTTTTGTTGTTTTTTTCCGTTACGGAGGCTAGTCTGATTCGAAACGCCATCATCTTCGTGTTTCATTTCATCATTGTCCACGTTATTTTGTTTTACTCTGTTTCGTGAATATTATCATTTATACCAATACATCTGGTGGACTTTCATTTTTATTTGATTTATTTTATTTACGTCTTGTGCGGTTGGGGCATATCTAAAGTATACTCAGACAAACAAGCACAGTTATTTTTTGCATATGTACGAGCGTGTTAGTACACATAGTAGCACATATATCTCTATCCTTCGTTTACTCAACGACAGATATTGATTCAAAGTTCTTTTTTTAACGCGAGAGTTGTTTTCTGTCTTTTTTGTAAATATCGGAGACAAATGGAATAAAAAATATTTAAAACAAAATGTAAGATGAAACAAAAAAATGTTAGCGTTTGCCCCGCTGTGATGATAACAAAATAACAAGAATAAATACATACATACAAGAATAAACAGATCCGTAAATAAAGTCTATCGTACACTAAAATGACTAAGACGTAAACATTACACATAATAAAAGGGCATAAATATCTTCAAAATTATATATCTGCAACTAAGGTACTGCAAACAAGTCCCTCCCGATATCAGATAAGCGAAGCAACAGCAACAGAATTACTAAAGCTAGCGCGGATATCAGGGGAACGGCGACGATTGGTGAAGACTGGTGTTGATTGGTGAAGATTGGTGGAGATAAGTAAGGGCTAGTGGAGATTGGTTTGATGGAGAATAGTCAAGACTGGTGGAGATTGGTGATGACTTCTGGAGACTATAGGGGTTGGTGACGACTTCTGAAGACTAGCGGAGATTGGTGACGACTTTTGAAGACTGGCGGAGATTGGTGAAGCTTGGTGGAGATCGCCGTAGACTAGTGAAGACTGAGATATATTGGTGGAGACAGGCGAAGAAAACTGAAGATTAGTAGAGATTGGAAATTGTTGAAGACTGGTGGAGACGCGAAGAAGGCTGAATATTGGATGAAATTGGTGAAGATAATTGGAAAGGGACTGTGCTAGATTTTAGGGTACAACTCATCGTATTGGAGATGTATACGAGAGACCAGGGCTTTCTCACGGTAATGCGGTAACAGAAGATAAAATCCTATTGACCCGGAGAGATATATGACACTTTAAAAGATAGGAACAGTCTCGAGACGAATGATCCCTATAACTTTTCCTGTTCAGCAAAAGAAGAGAAAGAGAGGGAAAAACTCTTTAAAAAAGGAGGAAAAGTAGGTAATACCTGGTTTTTGTGAGAGAGAGAGAGAGAAAGAGAAAGAAAGAGGCAAAAACGGACAAAGAAAGGGAGACTAAATTAATGTGACTAAACATATTCCAGTGATAAAGAGAAGGGCTCGGTAGAACCCAAACATACTACTGACTTAACCTAACTATACAATATAAATCAGACAAGGCAAATTTACTTTGGGACACTATTCGCTAGTTACCAGACCCTTCCATTACAGTATTCAAAGATCAATAAAGAAATGGCAGCTCATTAAGATGATCAAAGCTTTCATACTGCACTGGCAATATCACCCACTCTTCTTATCAAGGGATCCCAGTAGACACCGAATAATAGGCCTATGTGAAAATACCGAAAAGGAGAAGCATCTCGCAAATATATAGAGTAACGATTTATTTATTTATTTATTTTAAATTTCAGAGTGACTTTCATGATGCTTACATGTTTAACCAAGTTTATTTAGAACAGGCATTTTGACTAGCATCATATTTACTTTTGAAGTTGATTTATCCTAGATCTAGCATATGCTTGTGTAGACATGCTTGAAGACTACATGGCATGTAATATTTTGTGTGTCAGTGACTTACTTAGGCAAATGCATTTTCATGATTAAGATAATCATACATAGTTATTATCAGCTGATGTGACAGCTTGCATAGAAAATTCTTTAACATCTTATGGGAAGATAGAGTTACAGTTTAGATATTATTTAACATCTTAACATGTACCTGTAGTATGTAGGCCTAACAGTGTGCTATGTTTTGCAGGGAGTGAAGAGCCTATAACCTATGCGGAACCTATAAACTATGGACAGTTTTCTATAGCTCAAGGAGTCCGTGCAGGTGAGAATCCGTTTATGCATTACTGCTTTTTCTATTGGTGTTGCTTATCAATGAGGTTCATGACCCGTGTTTATGTGAGACATGTTGCCTGCTCATCTGGCGCATGCCCCTTTTCATGTGGATCATGTTCTTGGTCATGGGGCTCATGTTCCTCGCTTATGTGATGTATTTTCGTGTGGCTCATGTCTCATGTTCACTTTCTTTGTTTAAGTGACTCATTCTTTGTTCATATAGTTCATGTTTCTTATGAGGCTAGTGATCTTTCCTTATACGGCTCATGTTCCTTGCTCATGTGGCTCATATTCCTTGCTTATGTACCTGGTGTCCCCTGTATATGTGCCTCACGTCAGTTTTAAATGCTCTCCAACGCACTTGTTTTGTTTTTTTATTCCTTCCTTGTCTTGTTTGCTGCTGTCTCGTATGCTTCTGTTCCCTCGTGTTCTTTCCTTGGCATATTTATGTATGTTACGTAGCGTATGTGTTGGGTGTAGTTCCTTGTTCCCCGTTCTGAGGCATTCTGTGTTGGGTTTGTTCTTCATGTATTGTTGCACATAGAGAGAGAGAGAGAGAGAGAGAGAGAGAGAGAGAGAGAGAGAGAGAGAGAGAAAGAGAGAGTTTGAGAGTATGTGTGTGTGTGCGTGTGTGTGTGTGTGTGTGTGTGTGTGTGTGTGTGTGTGTGTGTGTGTGTGTGTGTGTGTGTGTGTGTCTGCGCGAGTATATGTGTGCGTGCATGTGTATGTAGGTATCTGCGTGTGTCTATCTGCGCGAGCATGAGTCACACATCCCGTACCCTCCATCGCCCCATGCATGTAAACCTCCTTATACCTTCCCGTTCAAAAGTATATGTCGCCCTTCTTCGCCTCTTCGCACGCTTTCCCTCCTGCATCCAGTCTTTATCAGTCTGCGCCTCTCTCCTATCCTCTCCTCTCCTTTTTTTTTTGTCGCTATCTTTTCCGTTCGTTGTTCCGCGTCGAGGGAATCCCAGGGCGAAGGTGGCGTGTTCATGCATACATCTTCCCGGCCTCTTCTTCCCCCCTCCCTCCCCCCCTCTTCACGTGGTTTCCCCCACCCCTCCCTCTTCCCAACGTGTGTTTGATTTTCTTCTTCTCTCGCCTCCTCCTCGTTCTCTTTCTCTGTTCCTCTCGTGTGTTTGATTTCTTTTTTTCTTTTTCTGCCTTTTCTTTCTCTTTTCCTTTGTCCTATGTTTCCTTTTTTCTTCGTCCTCCTCTTTCTCTTCCTATCGGGAGCTTGCTTCTTCTTCCTAGTATTATTACTATCATTCCCCTCTTCGTGTGTTCTCTTCCCTTTCCCCTCTTGGCGTTTTCTTCTTCTTTTCTTTCCTTTTCCCCTTGCGTGTTTGTTTTCTTCCTTCTTCTTCCTCCCCTCTTCACCCCTGTGTTCCCCTCTTCCTATTCCTATTTTCCTTTTCCTCTATTTACTTCTGCTTCGCCGCGTCCTCTCTCATTTAGCGGATGTTGCTTGTTTGTCTGTTTGGCTTCAACCCCAGATGTTTGTTTCTTTTTTTTTCTTTTTCGTCTTAACATTTCGAAGTTTTTTTTTCAGAAGTAACGGTAAGTGACTTGCATATAGATTATCCAATTTGATTATATATTTTCTGTATTTACCCATTTATCCTTTCGACGATACAGCTTACTTATTTATTTCCTGTCATTTTGAGTAGAGTGCATATTGATGTTATGATTTGCAAAATCTTTAAAAATCGAAATGGATAGGATGATAACGATACGGTTGTATAAAGATCTTTGGTACATAGCGGTATAATGAATTTCGTTCTATAAAATGATATAACGATCTCTGGTATATAACAATGTGATCTAAATTATTTTTAGTATGTTATGGTAAAATGAATTTTGGTATATAACAATATACGATATAATGATATAAGATTTATTTCTATGCTTGCTTAAGGCATTTACTTCCTTTGGCAGTAAGCAGTAAGTGTGTTTATGTGTATTTGCTGCCGCTGTCTCTCGGTGTGCCATGGCTGAGCAGGTAAAGAAAGCAACAGCAGTAACAGACAGGTGAAAGACAGGTCGGGAGGAGGGGGGTACAGGGGGAGAGGGTGACTGCAAGGGGCAGGGCCAGGGGAGAGGGTGACTGCAAGGGGCAGGACCAGGGGAGAGGGAGACTGCAAGGGGCAGGGCCAGGGGAGAGGGCGGCTTCGATGAAGGAGACGGGTGGGGGTGAGTATGGCTGTGAGGAGGGGGATGGTGGGGGGGGGGGTCAGGTAGGGAGAGTGGTTTCGATGGAGAGAGGGAAGGGGATGAGGGAGAGGGGGGAAGAGTGGAGAATGCGGCTTCGATAGGGAGGGAGAGGCCGGAGGGGAGCGGGGTAGGTCGGCTTCGTTGGAATAGGAGGGGCATGAGTCCTGGGGGGGGGGGGTCAAGTTTGGCTGGTCTAGGAGGAGGGGGGAGGGGAGGCAGGGTCGCCCGGACAGGATAGGGGCGGTAGGAGGAGGAGGAGGAGGAGGAGGGGTGAAGGATCCAAGAGATAAGGTCAGCTTGGATAGGGAGGAGCAGAGGAGGCGGATGTTTATAAGGTCAGCAGGAAGGGGACACTGACATTTAGCCCTGAGGTTAGGGAGGCATCACTTATGGATGTGCTATGACAGAAAAAGAGAGAGGGGGGGGAGAGAGAGAGGGAGAGAGAGAGAGAGAGAGAGAGAGAGAGAGAGAGAGAGAGAGAGAGAGAGAAATGGATGAAGGGAAAGAGGGGTAAGGAGAGATAGACCGTTGAAATGGAGGGAAAAAAGAGAGAGAGTGAGGAAGGAAGAGAGAGAGAGAGGGGGGGGGGGAGATAAGAAGAAGGAGAACGTGAAAGAGACGTGGATATACAGACAGTTGTCGAGGGATAGACCAGAGAGAGAGAGAGAGAGAGAGAGAGAGAGAGAGAGAGAAAGAAGAGAGAGAGAGAGAGAGAGAGAGAGAGAAAGAGAGAGAGAGAGAATCTAGGAGAGATCAAGGAGAGGCCCCTAGATTGATATTGTATAGGGAGGGTAGGGCAGGGGACGCGGGGGCCCAGGAGATGGCGGCGGAGGGGGGGGTATTGATTTCACCCACGATGCTCTCTCCTGATACAACCGAACGCCGGTGGAGGGGGAAGGGTAGGGGGAGGGGGTAGAGATATTTCGCACAGGTTGCCGTTGTTAATATAAAGAAGGAGAAGAGAGGGGAGGGAGGAGAGGGGAATATGGTGAAGGAATATCAGCGGTAAAGAGGAAAGGGGGAAGGAAGGACGTGGGAGGAATGCATAAAGCAGGAGGAAAGGGGGAGTATGGGATGGCTGGAATGACAGATGTTGGAGAATAGGACACAAAAGGAAGCAGGTGTATGGGAAAGAAGAGAGAGACAAACAGGTGTATGGGACAGGAGAGAGAGACAAGCCGGTGTTTAGCAATGAGAGAGACCAGCAGGTGTATGGAAAGGGATAGAGGCAAGTAGGTCTATGGCAAGAGGGAGAGGCAAGCCAGTCTATAGTAAAGGGGAGAGACAAGCAGTTGTAGGGCAAGAGAGGGAGAAGTGTATGGCAAGGGAGAGAGCTATTACACCAAAAGACCACGTAGCTTTTTACCACATGGCTATAAGTCAATTTGGTACCATCGCCTCAACGAGGGCCTAGATGACGATTATATCTGACCTCGTCTGACCCTTTAGTTCGCTCCCAGAAGTCACCGTGACCAGGTCAACACCAAACTCCGGCCCCCCAGGGCTGGCTGGCCGGACACGCCACACCGCGCTCAGCTCTTGGCCCAAGACAACGTCTCGTGTGCCCTTTACTGTGTTGTACTCTTCCTTAATAAAGAGTCAAGCCGTCCAACAACTATGACTACCCCTGCTAGCCATTGTTTAGAGGCATCTATAGCCTGTTACAGTTTTGCAAGGGAGAGAGACAAGCAAGTGTATGGCAAGGGGGAGATACAAGCAAGTGCATGACAAGGAAGAGAGACAAGTAGGTGTATGACAAGGGAGAGAGACAAGCAAGTGTATGGAAAGGGAGAGAGACAAGCAGGTGTATGGCAAGGGAGAAAGACAAGCAGGTGTATGGCAAAGGAGAGAGACAAGCAGGGTAATGGCAAGGGAGAGAGACAAACAGGGTTATGGCAAGGACGAGAGACAATAAAGTGTATGACAGGTAAGAGTGACAAGCAGTTGGATGACAAATGATAGATACTCGCTTGCAAGTGCACGGAAGGGAGAGGCGAAGCTGCAATGACAAGCGTGCACTGGGTGACGCGTGGCTGTCCTGGCAGATGTGGCACGAGGAAGTCTCTTACGGCCGCGTTGGCAGGGTGCGAGGGGGGCGCCCGTGGGGTATGGGGAAGGACGGGCGGAGGGGGTTGCGTTTAGTGCCATCGCCCGCCCATGGCTCTTTGCAGGGATGACAGGGACGGTATTTCCACCTAAGGGATAATTTCGAGTTCATTTATTACCCGGAGTGCGGTATTTTCAATTTCGGTCGGCGGTCCATCGTTACCCGCCAAACATCGTTAACTCCGGTTATCACCTCGCCTCCCCTTCCCCCCCTCCCCCACCCTCCCTTTACCCAAGCCTCGCCTTTACTACACCAAAGTTTACCTGCTTCGTTTACCTACTCTCGCTGTTTCTTCTTTACCTCGTTTCCTTCCTTTTCACTTTGATGTATATTTTATGCCTGGCATAGCATCCCGCGCGACATGTCTTCATGGTCTTCTGGCATCCCGCGTGGAATCCGTCTCAGCCCGCCACGACTTCGACAGCAGATGCAGTTCCTGTGGTCTCGTTTGTCCATTGACAGTGTCCGGAACACCTGTCAACGTCTGTCCATGCCTGGTTATGACTAGAGTTTGCTTTCCGCTTCTTCGAATATCGGGACGTCCGATAGTCTTCTGTTTTTCTTGTTTAACTTACGTTTATGGAAGTCTTGAAGCCTAGACAACTTCAGAGATGTGTTAACAGCACCTTTCCCTATTAGACACCTGTTTGCCTTGTTTAACCTTCCCT